ACACCTAGGTGTTCATGGAGTAGTTGTACCAAGTAAGGCTAAAGATAAGTATGGTGGTTATAAATTCGGTAACTTCATCCACACACACACACATAATATATACATATTTAACCTATCTTAATATATTGAGGGTCTAGAACTATGGTGTGCCTCCAAAGGGGGCACACTGAGTTGATAGAGGGCAACAAGTATCATTATAGGAGTATATAAATGATATTTGAAATTGAAAATTGAAAATCAAAGAATTTTTCAAACTACCATACAAATATTACTACTATTAAGTAATATAGTAACAACAATTAACATGGAAAAATTGAAGTGTACAGTACATACTACATAAATAGTTTAGAGTGGGGAGCTGCATCAGTGTGCAGACTACAAGAAGAATAAGAAGAGGTTAATTTCATGCTGGAAAATAAACAGAAAGAGAGGTTAAACAGTCAAAACAATATTTGATTCTTCTTACTTTTCAGAACGATTTAACCTTTTGTGTACACAAATAGTTTTGTATTCAAACAGTTTCATACAAACAAACAGAAGTCTTCTCACTCCAGTTATAGAAAATTTAATGTGATTTCTGATCAATGACTCCTGGTTGTCCCTAAATGTGCAACTTACTGTTTACCAGCAATCATTACAAAACAAGGTATTTGTCCTTCAAACCACTGATTGTTTTGCCTTGTTTTATAAATGGAATCAAGTTGACTGGTGATGCTGATCAGTTCTCGCTGAACCTGTTTAATTAATATTTCAGCTTCCTCCACCTATCTAGTTAAACCTCTCCTTGTTTATGCATCACAAGTGCAATGTTTAAAAAAATATTTTATTAGAAGCATTCAAAATCCAGACAACATTAACCCTTTCTTAATCAAGGCCCAGAGATGCATTATATATAATAAACCCAAAAGATCTAATCATCATATCACAATATTTATAAACCAATGATATGGGAATGTAGCTATATTCCATGCAAAAAAAATAATATGACTGTTGACTGAGATATCACAAGATGTTTTTTTTTACATATTTTTCAGTTTGTTAGCTGCAAGTTTTGGATATTAGTTTATATTTACTAGTTTTTCAAAAACATGGACAAATAAACAAGGATGTCAAAAAACCATCTCATGTGACAAATCAGGAATAAACAGAAGTCGTCGTCAAATGATGATGATAATGAAGAACAACAAACTGATAGCTCTGTAGCTAGATCAAACATTTCTTGTTTTCTTTTTCCCACTGCTTCCGTTAGTAAACTGAAAACCAAATGAAGTACCAGGAAGATTATTTAAAATTTGGTTTCACCTACAGAGTGTTGTTAATAATGAGGAACAGTCTCAGTGCATCATTTATTTATAGTTTTAGCTAATGACAACATGAAGCCAAATAAACTTACAAGGCATTTGAAAATCAAATATCCTGAGTTCTTCAAGAGATAAGTGAAACAATTAAAAGCAGCTTGAAAAGAAAGTCACTGTTAATTGCAAGCTTCATTAGAAGCATCTTATTTGATTGGGAAAAGCATGAAGCCACACAACATAGGAGACACTAGTTATGCCTGATGCCATAAAATTGTGTGAGATCATGCATGGAGAGAGTTATGGTGAAGCACTCAAGTCTTTCTCTTTAATACATGACACTGTTGCAAGGTGTAAAGATGTAATCTCTGCTGATATAAAATTGCAATTCAAACACACACCCAGAGCAGTACAAAATCTACCACACAACTTGATGAAACCACAGATATTGCAAAATCAGTTCAGGTTCTGGAATCTGTACGATACAGTTACAAAGAAAAAGTGTGTGACGAGTCTCCTTTTTGCCAAGTACCGGAAGGAAGAACTACGAGGAGGGCCATCTCCTCTTTTGTTGATGAGTTTTTCTCCACCATTAATTATGTTGGGGTATGCACTGATGGGGCAGCTGCATTTATAGGAAACAAGAAACTATTCAGAGATAAAGTATGTGTTCTTGCTCCAAGTGTAACATTTACACATTGCATCATACATAAGGATGCACTATCTTCAAAGAAATTCCAGACCAAAGCAAATAGTGATGTGAGCTTTGTGAAATCAATAGCTATGAGCAACAAGCTGTTTTCCATTCTTTGAGGAGAAATGGGGTCCATGTATGACAAACTCCTGCTGCATACAATGGTGTGATGGTTGTTTCCTGATAAGGTATTCCATTGCATTGTGCAGCTGAAAGACAAAGTTTATATTTTTTTTTGGTTAGACAACTACCTTACACTAGTAGTAAATTGCTGTGAAAAACCAATTTAAGAATTTTTGGAAGAATATGAGTTAAATCGTAGTCTTATTCATGACATTGTTTCTGTTCATTTTTAAAAACTTCAGGGTCAATTTGTAGATAAATACTACGGATCAGTGGGAGAACAGGATTGGATCCAGTATCCAATTTATGACAGCAAAATGTTTCATCTGCCTGTGGTTGTTCAAGAAAAGCTCATAGAACAATCCAGTGATAAAACTCTTCAAGTAGAATTTAAGTCAAAGTCTTTTGGAAACTTCTGCATGATAGTCTGCAAAGAATACCTTGACATCTCAAGAAAAGCAGTGGATGTACTTTTGCCTTCAACATCTAAATACCTGTGTGAGTGAGCATTTTCTTTCTGACAGCAATCAAGACACAATAGTGATATTGGTCTACAAATAGATAGGGATCTTTAAGTTGCTGTGTCAACAATTCAGTTATGAAAGGACCTCATTTTATCCCAAGTTCAAGCCCATCCTTCACACTAAATTGGTGTGTGAATTAAAACTGTTTGCCTTAAGCTATGTACCATTTTAAGATTGTCTTATTTTTATATGGTGTGTGTGTGTGTGTGTATGTGTGTGAATAGGGTGCAACAAAATACATGTTTAGAAAGTGGGGCACATTAAAAAAATTTTGCAAACCACTGGTCGAGAATATCAATTTAATATGTACACTGTACTATCAGTTCCATTATCTATTTGCAGTTATCTATTTCATGAATATTATTAATTTGTTAGATGTCACAGTCATCATGCTACTTTATTCTTGTTGTGCATTATAATTATTATTTTATTAGGAAAGCATAAATATTTTACTATGAAAAACTGTTGAATAACCACATTTAATTAATTAAACAACTTTATTTGTTTATGTGAATAAACTTGGCATCAAAACATATTTTATACTTCAAATGTTGATATTCTTTAAGTTTTAATTCCTTAATTTTAAAAGGAAATATTAAACAAATTTTCAATCTTCATTTCTGTCATATGACATGTCTGTACTGATCTCTCTCACTTAACTTTAATAATACAGCTTCTATAATTCCTAAACAATATTTCTATAGCACGTTAAAGATAAGCAGTGTATTAGAATAGGGATCAGGCCCTTAACGGATGCTGAAGGTAGGTTTGTGTTGATGAGTACAAAACAGTTGATCTTTTAAATGTTTTCTTCTCTTTCTACAAGAGAGGATATTAACATAATTCTGCCCCCGAGTATTCTATGGGAAATATTAAAATTTACATGAATCATATATATATTAATCCCTCGAGGTTAAATACAAAAATTGATTATTTCTGTATGACTAATCTTCCTATTTTATTTTGTTTCGATTTTGTTTAAACATATTTTAGAACTAACCTTCATTTAATATGATAGACATCTTCAGGTACAAAAATTAGACACTGGGTTACTTTTTTAAATTCTAATCTGTTGTACATGAAAATGTATACACAATATGAAACCTATAATCAGCTGAAAATAAGAATAACACTGTTCAACGAGTTTCTCCCATCAAATTTTCACTAAATAAATTAGTTCTTTGTTAAAAATAATTGTCCTTAGGTTTCATGTGATAAACTAGTAAAGATTCTTATCATAATGTGTGTAGATGATGTATGATTCAGTGAAAACAAATTCACTCAATAGAAGAAAAACAAAGACAGTACAAGTACAATGTCTACTATTTGATACAAATATTTGTGATAAATGATAAACTGTAAATGTATTAATTATTTTAATGTGTTCTTTCTGATCTTCTATCAATATCAACAACTTTTCCTTTAAAGCTTATTATGTTTTATACTTAGTTATTAATAATGACAGTATTAGAATAAATTCCAAAATATCTATAATTAAAGATTTTTTTCACATTACAGTGATTTTAATATTTCTTATAATGCTTCGATTTCCACCTTATGAATCATTTTAATCTTTGCAAAGAGGTCATCTGGTATCATTCATCACAAATTTTTACACCATATACAATCAAAATTTTAGAAACTTGTGAAAATTTCATTGACAGAAAATATAAGATAAAATTAATAATAATAATAAAATATAAATTTTGCATCATCTCCTTCTTAGCTCTCATGTGTTTGGTTAATTACATACATAATAGTCATATTCACATTTATTGCACAAGTTATTTGAATAGAATACAGTGTGAAACTTACATTCAAGTTACAATAAATAAGTGGATACAAATTATGTATAACTGAGTGT